AGCACAGTGTTGTAACAACAAGTCAAGGGTTCTAATCCACATACCAGCCAGCCAACCAAAAAACAAAATTGCTTTTTAAAAACTTAATGTCTCGGGCCGGCCCGTGGCTCACTTGGGAGAGTGTGGTGCTGACAACACCAAGTCAAGGGTTAAGATCCCCTTACCGGTCATCTTTAAAAAACAACAACAACAACAATGTGATCCTTATAATGTAAAAAAACAAAATAGTGAATTTTTAAAAATTATTAATTATCACTTCTCCACAGAGGCAGCCACTGTTTCTAGCTTCTGACGTGTCCTTTCGAAATACTCCCCAGCATGGACAGACATAGACTCTGGTCTTTAGTATGCTGCCAGGTGACTTTGCTGCACGGTTAGATTCAGAAACCGGTGCGTTAGCAGGCTGCTCGGGCCTGCAGCCAAGGCCCCTGACATATTTCCTAGATTATTCTCTCTCCCTTGTGTTTCTGTGGCATTTTTATTTATGGATACAAAACAAAACTATGTGCTGGGGGGCTGGAGAGGACCCTGGAGCAAGAGTCTGATGTAGGTGAGTGAGACAGGGCCCGGAGGAAGTGAGCCAGGATGATGAGTGCTAATGAGGTGGCACAAAGGTTGTTTTATGATGATGACATAATGGAGGCTTTAACAGGGAGGCAAGGAGAAACTTACTTATACCCAGGGCACAGCTCAACCAAAGTTGAGTATGTATATTCTTCACACTGCCTGCCCAATGCAAAGCAAAGTCATTTATTGGCCTGCTTGCATTTACAAATGCAGTTTCCTGTCACCAAATCATTTTCCACATCTCTGACTTTTTGAACCAGCCTGGTGCTCATCTCCTGGGCTTTTCCAGAAAAGCCTCTTAGAGTTGGATCTGAGACCTTTTGATGTTGGCTTTCCTCAATAACTTCCCTCCTCCTGCCTGGCTCTCTCACTGAGGCATCGTTCTGAGGTCAGGATGGCGAGGGTGAGTTTGGATGGCCTCTAGGCATTCAGCCCAGGGCTCCCAAAACAAAAGGTGTCTGCTGCCATCTTCAGCCAGACACAGGCATGCTGAGTGGGCCAGACTCAGCAGGGGTGCGAGAGCTCAGGCCTGCTGAGGGAATGTTGCCAGGCATAGGCTGCAGGAACTGGGCCTCAGGATCCCCAAGACCACCACGTGCCTCCTCTGCCCACCTCGGAGGATGGCCTCTTCTGAGAGCTGCCTCTTGAGTCTTCTCTAGAAATCTTTCATCTTAGACTTCAAAATTCCACTTCTTCCTGGAGTGGTGCTCACCCAGGCTGAGATCCTGGGCATGCTGTCTGTTGCTTGGCTGTGCGTGTCCACTCGAGTTAGGACCAGACTGGTTTGGTTCCGAAGTGCTCAGAGGACAGTAGTTTCTCTGGGGTAATGTTGCTTCATCTCCTATGAAATTGAAACCCACTGCTACTTTCACAAAATCATCTCTTCTCTCTTTAGTAGGAATTCTGATAGAATGGAGTCAGAAAGGACACAGGTTCGGGGGGGGGAGGGATGTTTCTATTCCAGTGACTCCACACAGTGTCACAGCTGGTCTATGGGACCCTTGCTTTGAGTTGAGGGCTCTTGCGACATTACTTTTAAACTTCTGGACATTTATGTTAGATATTATATTTTCAACTTTCATGACAGTTCAGTATAAAAGAACAAACCTTTATGAGAGGAGCTAGGAGTTACCTTAAGAAACGAGTTAGTCCTTTGGGCAGCACCACACTGAAGTTACTCTAGACAGAAACACATCTGTCTTCCAGAGCACCTCCTGCCTCTCCACTGAGTCCTGAGGTCAGAACGCCTGCCTGGGTCTGAATTCAGCCACGTCTGTTGATTTGCTTTTCTAACTGGGAAAAAGAAAAGGTCCTGAGAGGGCTGAGCAGAAGGGAAAAATAACACCCCCAGGGCCTTTTCTCCACTGCTGTCCTTTCATTCTTCTGCCTTTTAGCTTTCTGGTTGCCGCCTGACTATTGATCTAAATGACTCAGAGGCCCCCAGCATGTGCAGAAGTCACCTACTGTTCTTGGAAGTGTTCTTGAAAAGTTTGGTGTCAGTCAAATCTTTTTTATTTTTTATTTTTTATTTTTTTAAGTGCACAAGCTAAGATGCTGGCTATTTAAAGTTGGAATCAATGAATCATTGGGCAAAAATGAAATTTTTAGGAGCATGCATAATCATACACCATATGCTGTCTAAATTAGATTTTCCAAAATTTGGCTTTCCAGAAGAAGGGCACATGGTAGGTGGCCTTAGGCCAAGTGGACACAATTCAGGAAGTCTTATTTCACAAGCAAGTTTCCCAGAGAGGTTTGAGATGGTTTGTGGCCAAGCAGTAAGGTACTTCCTACCAAATGCTCAGACCTGGGAGCTCAGAAGAGGAAGACCTGCCTGGGCCCCTTTTGTTCACTAGGAAACTTCCACTTCCCTGTGTCACCATTGAGACCTAAACTCTGTCATCAGTGAAGAGTTGTAAAAACTATTTTAATCTTTGTATTAAAATAGATGCAAGATTGCCTCTTCACCTAGGAGTTGTGCTGCATGGTCCCCGATTATCTGCATTTTAAGGTAGACCTTGAATAAAAATACCCTAGTGCATGAAGGTGTCAGTGTAGGAGGAAGGAGATCTCTAGACTTCCCCAAACAGATGAGGTGGCAAAGCCCTAGCCAGCGTGCACACTCCTGGTGAAGCCAGCTCTCCTTCAGAGCTTTAAAACAACCTCAAGGCGTGAATCATTGTATTACCATGGCTGGCTGGCTTCAGAGGAACTGAAAAAATGAAAAGATTCATCTTGCTCATTTGCAAAGGGAAATATGCAAATGTTGAGGGTCCTTTTGTGTCAGAGCCACACTCTTCTGTTGTGATGTGTTAAGCCCACTTCAAGCTTCAGGTCGAGAGTTCTTGCTCAGCTGCTGTGCCCATTACTGAGGGTCTTGATTGGGTGTGTGTTAGAAACCGAGGGACTCTAGAAAACAAGAGCACTTTCAGCACTGACCTCTTTAACTGGAGTTAGATTCATTTTGTGATTTACTTTTTATTGTAGACTGACATTTTATACAGCAGGGTTTTCAACAGCAGTATAATAGCTTGGGGGGCACATTTGGGACTGCATAATTCTTGGGGTGTTTAGCAGCACTCCTGGCCTCTATCTATTAAATGCTAGTAACACCCCCCCCCAAGTCGTGACAACCAAAAATGTATCCAGACATTGCCAAATGTCCCATAGGACACAAAATCGTGCATGCACACACACCCTGTTTAAGAATCATTGTTCTGTAGAAAAGAGGCAGTATAAAATCATTGTCCTAAATTAGTTGTGCTTTTAAAATAGATCCTAAGATTTTACATACATTTAACACCTGTGTGTTATTGGTTTGTTCCCTACATGAAGCAGACAAGGTTTTATTCTCTTTGTCTTCACAAAAACCTAGAATTGTAAGACCGGCCTAAAAGCACGAATCTTAACTTGATGGGAAGGCTCATCTCGCAAAGACCAGGAGGCACAGAGATCGATGCACAGGCAAGAGGTTTTATTTCCGGCATGCTGGAGGTCGCCCCGTTTTCAGGACAGGAGCGGCCCCGAATTCACAATGCAAGCAGCTTTTATACAGTTTTTTGAACGGATATTGTGATAGGATCAACTGTTGGTTATCTGTGGCGCTTTTAGATTTACAGGTGGGCTTCAGCTGGCGCCTTTTGGGTTTACAGGTGGGTTTTAGCAGGCTGGCACCCCTTTAGCGCATTTCTCAATTGTTTACCTTCCCCGGGGCCTTGCTTTGAACCAGCTATTTCCTGGAACCGGTGGGGGGCTATTAATGTTTAGTGCCCTTGGGCCTGGCCTTTGTCACGGCCCCTGATAAGCTGCATTGCTTATGCATTGTTTAGTGTGCTCGGGCCTGACCCTTGTTCTGGCCCCTAAAAAAACTGCTTTGCTTATTATGCATTGTTACAAGACTGTGTACATTAAGGTTATATTTTCCTACAATTCTACTACTTATATTCTATGTCCCCCCTACATTTTAATTTATTTCCAACAGAATCTTCTCTCCCTTCATCCAATCTACTCTCCGTTAAGTTTGTTCCCTACATGAAGCAGACAAGGTTTTATTCTCTTTGTCTTCACAAAAACCTAGAATCTTCTCTCCCTTCATCCAATCTACTCTCCGTTAATATTCATATATTGCTAATAATATTTATCAGACCTGTTAATTCAATAATAGGTTGTTATTTCATTAATTCTGCACATTCATTCATTCATTCAACAGTACCACTTAGTGATCTGGTGGGGAGCAAGCACTGCCCCTTAACCAGGATTTCCACAGGTTTGATAACACATCCGTCCTTCTCAGCTTGTTTTATGGTGAGGGCTCACATTTTGGGGAGGCAGAATGGCATCTGATGTGGATGAACATGGTCCTTAGAGTCAGACAGACCTGGATTCAAATCCCAACTTAAAAGCTGGGTAGTCTTGGACTAATTATGGAACCCATGTGCCTCAGTTTCCCCATATGAACATGGGGATACCCTGAGTGTACATTTCACCAGCTAAATTCCAGCTCCCTCTCTTCCAGGTGACTGTTTCACATCTCTCCTCAAACTGCCCTCAAATACTACCCCCCTTCACTCTCAACTGACAGCCCACTCCCCATTTCACTGAGGAGACAAGTGAGCAAGAGAACTTCAAATTCCTACTGCCCCTGTGTCTCTGCCCAGAGACTCTGCCTTCCTTCCAGTACTGCAGAGGAGCCGTCTCATTTCTCTGTTAGGTCAAGCCCTCTGCTTGTGCACCAGATGCTGGCCTTCTCTAGGATGTCCCTTCAGCATCTATCCCCATCTTTCCTGACCTTTGGCTAGTCAAGGTCAAGCCCTTCATCAGCTCTCCTTGGATACCTCCCCAGTCACTTGCTGGAGTATTTACAGTGACTGATGCAGATGGAACATAATCAAACATTTGGTGTTACAAAATAAAATGGTTTGCTGTAAGACACAATGGTGAAGGAAAAACAACAACAACTTGGGGATGGTTTCGTCTACCTGTCAGAGTTCTGCAAGGCCTCAGTGAGATCTTGTATGTCAGATATCAGTAGATGGCAACTTATTATCTGCCGACTGACAGGTTGTAATATCAGAATTGCCATCTTTGTAGGTAAAAAAAGGTCAAATATTGGGAACTTCAAACAGTTCAAACTATATGTAAACCAACATCATGCTGAATGCTATTTGCTCTGTGGAAGTCCAGCAAAAAAATGGAATGGTTCTGCTTTGTTCTTTTCCTACAGTCCTGCCTCCTCTCTGAGGAGACATCCTGCTGGCACGATATAACAAACTTCAGAGAGGACAAAGTCGGTCTCTGACGTCATCAGCTTTCACAACTAGCATTTATTTTAAAAAGCTTGTACTGCATGGAATCACACTCTGCCAGCCTTTCAGCCAATTTGTGTGGAAATAACCTGAATTGTAGCAGTTCCTCGGTTTGAGCCTGCCAGGGGGCCGTTTGGTTGGTTTGCTGTTGCTCGTTCCCTGGTTGCCTGTCTTGGGCAGGCACCTCTCTGATGTCTCTGTGTTTACGTGTCAGGTCACTCTGCTGATTGCCTTCATCTGCGTGCGGAGCTCTGTGTGGATCGATTACAGTGCCTACAGCTACTTTGAAGTGGTCACCATTTGCGACTTGATAATGATCCTCGCCTTTTACCTGGTCCACCTCTTCCGCTTCTACCGCGTGCTCACCTGCATCAGCTGGCCCCTGTCGGTAAGAGAGTGGCCTGGCCCTGGTCTCAGCATGCAGAAGTCAGGGTACTAGCTGGCACGTTGAGACCCCCCAGAGGCCTTCCCACCTGCCCATTCTACCTCTTTATCCTTTGCTGCTTCAGCTCTGAACTTACCACTCTTTGGTGGACATCTCTGCCTGATGTCCTACTGGTTTCTAAAACTCACTTTACAGCTACAAGAAGGCTGTGACTCTCACCTCAGGGTTTGTCTTGTCATGTGAGAGGGAATGGGCAGTGTGTGTGTGAGCTGGGAGCAACGGATCAAGATGATGGATATTTATATTCTTGTGAGGGCTGAATGATGAGGTTTGTTGGCTAAAATGGACTGGCAGGGGCTGAGGAGACACATCAGAAGTTACCAAGCTTTTTCTTCCCGCTATATTATTTTTTTTAAAGCTTTATTAATATATAGTTCACATGCCATGCCATTCTCCCATTTAAAGTGTACGACTCAGTGGAGTTGGTGTATTTCCAGAGTTGTTCAACCATCACCACAGTCAATTTTAGAACATTTCTTATCATCTCAAAGAGAAATTCCATACCCTTTGGCTATCACCTCCCCACCTCTCATCCCCTTCAGCCCTTAGCAAGCACTAATCTTCTTTTTGTCTCTAAAATTTCCTATTCTGGATATTTCATGTAAGTGGGATCATATATGCAGTCTTTTGTAACATGCTTGTTTTAGTTAGCAGAATGTTTTTATGGTTCATCCATGTTGTAGCATGTATCAATACTTTATTTCTTTTTGTAACCAAATATTCCATTGTATGGATATACAACATTTTGTTTTTCATTCATCATCAGTGGACATTTCGGTTGTTTTTACATTTTGGCTATTATAAATAATGCTGTTATGAGCATTCACATGCAAGTTTTTTGTGTGGACATGTATTCATTTTTCTTGGGTACATACCTAAGAGTGAAATTGCTGGGTTGTGTGGTAACTTTATGTTTCATTGTTTGAGGAACTTCCAGACTATATGCCAAGTGCACCATTTTATATTCCCACCAGCAGTGTATAAGGGTTCCAATTTCTCCACATCCTAGCCAGTGCTTGCTATTTTCTGACTTTTCTGATTCTAGCTATTCCAGTGACTGTGAAATAGTACCTCATGTGGTTTCGATTTGCATTTTTTTGACTAATCACATCAGTCATCTTTTCATGTGCTTTTTGGCTATTTGTATATTTTCTATGAAGAAATGTCTATCCAAATCCTTTGCCCCCCCCCCTTTTTTTTTTAAAGATGACCAGTAAGGGGATCTTAACCCTTGGCTTGGTGTTGTCAGCACCACGCTCAACCATTGAGCAAACCGGCCATTCCTATATAGGGATCCAAACCTGTGGCCTTGGTATCCTTTGCCCATTTTTAAATTAGGTTGTCTTTTTATTGAGTTGTAAGCATTCTTTCTATATTCTAGATAAAAGTGCTTATCAGATGTATGATTTGCAAATATTTTCTACCATTCTATTTGTTGTTTTTCACTTTCTTGATGGTATCCTGTAAAGCACAAATTTTTAATCTTGACAAATCCAATTCATCTATTTTTTCATCTGTTTTTGGTATTATATCTAAGAAGCCATTGCCAAATCCAAGATCAGGAAGACTTACCTCTATATTTCCTTCTAAGAATTTTCTAGTTTTAGCTCTTACATTTAGGTCTTTGGTTCATTTTGAGTTAATTTTTGCATATGGTGTGAGGTAAGGGTTCATATTCATTCTTTTGCAAGTTGTCCTCGCACCATATGTTGAAAAGATTTTCTTTTCCTCATTTAATGGTCTTGGTACCCTGGTCAAAAATCAATTGACTGTAAATACATAGATTTATTTCTGGACTGTCAATTCTATTCCTTTGATCTATATGTATATCTTTATGCCAGTACCACACTGTCTTGATTAGTGTAGCTTTGTAGTAAGTTGTGAAATTAGGATATGTGAGTCCTCCCAATTTGTTTGTTTTCACGATTGTTTTGGATCATTGTAATTTCATATGAATTTTAAAATCAGCTTTTTAATTTCTACCAAAAAAAAAAATCAACTAGGATTCTGGTAAGAATTGCATTGAATCCATAGTTCAATTTGAGAATATTGCCATTCTAGTAGTACCAAGTCTGATGATCCATGAGCATGGAAGGTTTTTCCATTTATTTAGATCTTCTTTCATTTTTTTCAACAATATTTTGTAGTTTTTAGAGTATATGTTTTGCAGTTTTTTTTGTTAAACTAGTGTCTAAGTATTTTATTCTTTTTGATGCTATTTCAAGTGGAATTTTAAAATTTTCATTCTTTTTTTTTTTTTTTTTTCCTTTTTGTCTTTTTTTGTGTCCGGCAACGGATCGCAACCCTCGGTATTGCTCCCGCACCTCGCTCAGCCAGTGAGCGGGAACCGGTCTGTATGTGGGATCCGAACCCTCGGCGGGAGCACCACCGCACTCCCAAGCGGCACACTGTAGCAGTGCGCCACCGGGCCGGCCCTAAATTTTCATTCTTAATTTCATTTTCAGATTGTTCAATGCAAGTCTGTAGGAATACAATTAATTTTTGTATATTGATTTGTATTGATATACAAATAACTTCTTCCTTTCCAATTTGGATGCCTTTTGTTTCATTGTCTTGCCTTTTACAAGAAGTTAGTTGAATAAATTAGTTGAATGTTGAATAAAAATGGCAAGAGCATATGTCATTATCTTTTTCCTTATCTTAGGAAAAAAGCATTCCATCTTTCATTATTAAATATGTTAGATATGAATTTTTTGTAGATGCCCTTTATCAGATTTAGGAAGTTCCCTTTCAGTCCTACATTAAGTGTTTTTATCATGAGAGAGTGTCAAACTTTGTCAAATGCTTTTTCTATGTCTATTAATATGATCATGTGAGGTTTTCCCCATTATTCTATTAATATGGTATATTATTTTGATGTTTTTATATGTTGAACCAACCTTGCATTCCTGGGATGAACTTCATTTTGGTCATGATCTGTTATACATTTTATATATTAGTGGATTCAGTTTGCTAGTATTCTGTTGAGAAATATTATATTCAAAAGAGAAGTTTTTCTGTAGTTCTCTTATGATACCTGTCTGGTTTTGGTATAAGGGTAATACTGGCCTCATAGAATAATTTGAGAAGTGTTTCTTTCTCTTTTATTTTTTGAAAGAATTTGTGCAGAATTGGTATTCTTTAAATGTTTGGTAGAATTCAGCAGTGAAGCCATCTGGGCCTGGGCTTTTCTTGTGGGTAATTTTTTTATTATTAATTTAAACTCTACTTTTGTGGGTCTATTCAGATTGTGTTATTTCTGCTTGAGTCAATTTCAATAGTACAGGTTTCTAGGAATTTGTCTATTTCACCTAAGTTATTTAATTTATTGGCATGCAATTTTTCACTGCATGAACAAATTGGGGTATTGAAGTCTTCAGCTATTATATTTGAATTTTCTACTTCTTCATTCATGTCTTTTAGTTTTTGCTTCATGTATTTTGGCTCTCTTATGAGGTGCATACACAGTTATAACTGTTACAGCTTCCTGGCAAATTCACCTTTTCATTATTATAAAATGTCCCTTTTTACCTCCTCTAGTTAAGATTTGTTTCTGGGGCCGGCCCGGTGGCCGCTTGGGAGTGCGGCGGCGCTCCTGCCGAGGGTTCGGATCCCATGTGGAGACCGGTTCCTGCTCACTGGCTGAGCGTGGTGCGGGCGCAACACCGAGGGTTGCGATCCCGTTACCAGTCAGTAAAAAAAGACAAAAAGGAAAAAAAAAAAAAAGATTTGTTTCTGTTATAGTCTACTTTGTCTAAGACTAATATAGCCACTGTGGCTTTCTTTTGGATGTTGTTTGCATGAAATATTTTTATCTTTGCATATAAAGGATGTCTCTTGTAGACAGCATAGAGTTATATTTTTTTAAAATCCAGTCTGACAACCTCTGACTCTTGATAAGATTATTTAATCATTCACATATAACATCATTACCCCCTATGATATTTTGAGAGAAATTTCTGTTACTAAGTTCTAAGGCTCCTTTCAAAGTTATGGCACCTTTCTCCTTCTTATGAGAACAAGGTCCTCTGGGCTTCCCTGATGCTGATACTGAATAAGCAAAGGAAAGAATAAAGTCCAGAGAACAAGAACTAAGAATAGACTGAGTGGGCAATGAATATTGGAAAGCCAGGCTCAGCCACATATTTTTGCCTGAGTACCATTTAGGTACCTTCCAGCTGAGATTCTCAGTTGGTTGCTCTGTTCCATATCATCTCCTCTTCCTTTATAAGTGAGAATCTTGAGGTGGGGAACTTCCAATTATGAATCTGCTCTTTAGTCAAAGGCTCTGTGGTCTACCTTGTGATATTTCTTTCTAGTCTGTGTGGGAGAAATCAGGTTCTTTGATTTTGCGCAGCTTTGAGAGAAGCTGCAGCTTAAAAATGGAATGCTTTTTCAAAATGTATTAGCTGCTTGCCCTAATGGGCAGAACTTTATGAGGGAATAATTTCTAAATGGTCATTGAAGACAGCTGAAAATGGGTGCACTTTGGATTCAGACTGAGTACTATAAAAGGCTCCAAGCCCAGTTCTCCTCTGATCTGATTAATGGGGAGGAGGAAGGGTGAGGTGGAAGCATTCTCATGCTGTTAAATGAAAGGTTCAGTCCCATCCAAAGCCTGCAAAGATGTTATTTTAATCATGGGGAGTGAACAGGGTGGAAATGGACAGCCCATGGGCCAGGCAAGAAGCAGAGGTGGAGGCAGTCCTGCCAGTAGACTCATTGGCAGAACTTGGCTGGAGGCCACATTTCTGGAGAGAAGAGAAGAGGGAACCACAAAATGGAGACAAGGAGAACCTGGGAGGGAGGAAGCCAGCTGCCACCACACACCCACAGGCATGTCACAGAAGTGCTACTGACCTCATCCTAGGCTTGGACTTCAAGTCCAAGAGATCCCCAGGAATGACTCCTCTCAAGTCCACACTTGGGGCTGACAGAGTGGGCAGACACCTGGTCAGCTGCACAGAGCCAGCACATTCCCAGAACTTTCTCTGAAGCAGAAGAGAAGGGTGCACATCTTTTTAAAGGGCTTTGCTTCTCAGAGCTGGAGCTTCATTTCGACTTTCCAGCCTGGGAATTGCAAGAAGCTCATTTGCTTTTTAGAAACACTTTTGCTCGAGGTCAAGGTACTGTCTACAAATTGTTCTCAGGAGTGGAGCCATCCTTCGTGGATACCTCTGCTCTCATGAGAGGCTTCCTCTCTCTCTGTCCCCGTCTCTTCCTGCCTGCCCGGCATCATCCCTCTCTTGCTTGGCCTCTTCCTGGCTGCCTTCTGCACTGGTTGCTTGTGAGCTGCACTGCTCCTCCTGCTGCGGTGTTGCAAGGGAGAAGAGGAAGTGGTCCTCTCTCCCCTTCTTTTCATCCCTTCTGATGCCCGGCTGCGCTCTAAGCTCCAGGAGTGGACCTCCCTACCCACTTCTTTGCTTTGTTTTTGCCCCCAGGAACTTCTGCACTATTTAATCGGTACGCTGCTCCTCCTAATCGCCTCCATCGTGGCAGCCTCCAAGAGTTACAGCCAGAGCGGACTGGTAGCCGGAGCGGTGAGGACCTTCTTGAGGGCCTTTAGGAATGAATTCATACTTCAAATGCTCAGCTTCTTCCCGATGGGGGGCAGAGAAGGGGTTGGTTTCTGGGGCCTTTCTTTTACGGTATCAATACCTACCTTGATCCAACCAGCACCTGTCTCCAAAGAGCCTAAAACCTGGGCTCACAGCAGAGGGTCTCAGAAGGTGGACTGTCGGGGCTGTTGGCAAATTCAGATGGCCCCAGCAGCCCAGGCCTCTCTCTCTTAGTATTTTAACTGGGGGGGCAAGTAGGTTTTAATTCATGTGCCCACTGATCATGTGCTCGTGGCTGCCTCAACACTCTGTGGAGAAAGATTTGGGGGGCCTCTCTTGGGCCCAGAGGGAAGGGTACTGTGATCATTTAGTGATACCTGCCGCGAGTCCAAGCTTTGCCATTGTTTATTTTTAACAGTATTAAAGGACAGGAAATAATACTTCTATACTTTTCAGAGGTGAAAATCGATCCGTCTGATAGCCGTGAATAGAAGTAGATGGAAATGTACAGAAATACAATGCTGTGGGAGATCTATACATGTATACATATGTATATACATACATATGTGTATATATTATTTTTTAAAGATTGATAGATTCCTGTCATCTGGTTTCTGATTTAGCTGACTATTTCAGTTCAGTAGCCTGTGGGCTAGGACTGATTTGCTTCACTGATGAGCAGGAAAGATTTTGAAATGAGTTTTAAGAGAAGCTCTGTGTGCGACATTCACTGTCTCATAATTATACACGTTACCAAAATTCTCCAGATTTTGGCCTGGGAGTCGGTTGGCTCCTAGAATTTCACCAAGGGAATGGAGTCTGTCCTCCAAAGGCCAGCATGGGAGCAAAACGTCACTGCAGAAGGTGGCCAGGTCTCCAAATACTGATGCCCTGTGTGCATCTCCCACAGCCCACCCCCTACCCCTCATGCAGTCTCGGAAGAGAGGGTCGTTGCCACCTGCCCCACCCCAGCGCAGGCTGCGGGCAGAGGCACAGAGGAAATTGGTGCCCGCTGTGTTGCAGGGCCCATGTGGGGAGGTTTCTGCTGGGTTTTAGGATTCAGGATTCATATAACCTTGCTAGCTCTGGAGTCCCAGTAGCTAACATTTATCATACACTGTCTTTGTGCTTAGGACCAAACCTTGGCCTTGGGGAAACAAAAAGGAATTTAAAAAATATGGTCGCTGTTTTATGAGAAAGTGGTAATCTAGCTTAGAAGGCGAGGACAAGGCACATGAAACAATTAACAAACAAGTCATTGTTGTCTAGAATAGCATTACGTAGCGATATAATAAACTGTTCAATTATGCAGTGCAGACAGTTGGAGACCGAGATGGTATATAATGTGCTGATTGTGTAGAACAGTGAGAGGCCAGGACAGGCTCTAATAGGCTAATTATGTAGTGCAGACAATTGGTACAAAAGGAGCCAAGCAAAGGGAACTCAGGGAAGAAGTGGGTGTGGGCTGGTGGGGCAGCTGTTTGTGTAAACCAGCAATTGGGTGTGAAAAGAAAATCTGACCTTGTTGAAAACCCTCCCCTTCTGCCATGCTGCTTGTAAGCCATACCTCTTGGACGTCAGCTGGTGATTTCAGCCATGCACTAGTGGTGGTACAGTGAACCTGAGGCCTTTGTGTGGGTCTGAGAACAGCTGGGCAGCAGTATAGCAGGGCATGGACCCTGGCACCTGACTCCCTGGGCTCAGAGCCCACAGCTGGCTCTTGCTCACTGTGTGGTGACCTCTTGTTCCTCCGTTACTTCAACTGTAAAATGGGGGGTGTGTAATTTAGCAGCCAGCTCACAGAGGTGTGAGGATTAGAGGAATCAACAGACCTAAAGGGCTTAGAACCCTGGCAGGTATGTAGTAAGTGCTCAATAAGTTCTAGCCACTGTAGCTGCCAGTGCTGTTTCAAGTAAGGAAAATGGCTCCAGGCTTCAAATTTCCAAGGACAGCCGGGCTGGGGCCTGCTTCTTCCGCAGCTGTTTGCTTGTCCTCGCTCAAGGCCCTTATCCCCTCCAGGCACCCTGGCCCTCTGCTGCAGGTAAGGTAAGGGGCTGGGCTAGGTCTGCTTTCTTCACGCTTGATGGACCCCGAGAAAGGAAAAGGATGCTGGCTCATCTTATTTTACTGTAATGTTATTTAAATATGTGCAAACATAAAACTAGCTATAAAGGCCCCACCTTCTGGCTCTTAACACGGCTGTAAAGCCAGAACACAACAGAAAGCCATTGCAGATGAAATGCAAACAGTGCCACCATGCCAGTAAAACCCATTTGAACGTTAAAAATTTTTAAACCCAAATTAAAACTTACAATTCCACCTTTTTCTTCTTTATTAGTCCAGGGTAATGAAAGTCCAGTGGCGTGGCCCTAAACCTGGGTGTTGAAATTGCCTGAGTGGGAATTGTGGAGTCCTACAGGCCTGGCTGCTGGCCTGACCCAGGCCCAACCTCAGCAGCCTGGGGCCAGGGCCTGAGCCGCTCTGAGCTTCATCTCTGCATCTAAGTAGGGACGAGGTGTTTGGGTCACAGGAGTTCCCATGCTCCTTTCATGCCATAGATGGTATAGGGAACAAGCAGAGATGGGAAACAGACAGGATGGCCCAAGTGGTTGGCCCCAGGGCTGTGAATTTCCTCTCATCTCTCTCCACTGCAGATCTTTGGTTTCATGGCCACCTTCCTCTGCATGGCAAGCATATGGCTGTCCTACAAGATCTCGTGTGTAACCCAGTCGACAGGTGAGTCTCAGTTATCTGTACACAGAGCATCTCTGGAAGTCCCCTCTGTGAGGAGCAGGGGGACAGCTTGTTCTTGATGTCAACAATAGGGGATGACCCCATGCTGAGGAGGCCATGTCCCAGGGGGACTCAGAAGTGGTGTGAGGGCACAGGGGCCAGCAGAAGGGAAGAGGGAGTCTAAGGACCTCTGCTTGCCACATGCCCAGGGATGCCCTAACATTTCAACCTCTGACGGCATAGCCTTTTCTTCAGAAAGTCTAATGACAAATATAAAGTATAGAGTTTTTAGAAAATACAGATAAGAAAAAAAATTCTTAATAAAACCATCTGTTGCCACACTACACAGAAATAGCACCTGGGTGTCTATCCTTCCAGTATTTCCTCTTCGGAAATATTTACACATGTTGCTTTTATTAAAAGGATCAGACTTTATGTGCCATTTTGTAACCTGCTTTTTTTCCCCCTACTTAGCTATCTATCAAACATTTTCCTGACATCATTAGGAATTCCTCTGCATCCTTCTTGATGGCTCCTTGATGTTGCATTAACTCTGTTGCATGACTGCACCATAGTTTATTTAACTTGTGTCCTATTCAAGGGCAATACTGGTTTTTGGGGGGTTTTCTTGCAGCTGGCCAGTACAGGAATCCAAACCCCTGAACTTGGTGTTATATGACACCGGCTGCACTAACAGGCCAACCCTTGTTTCTCAAAAAAAAAATTATTTGTTACTAAACAGTACTGTAAAAAACATCCTTGCAAATAAATTCCTATATAAATCCCTGACATTTTTTATTTTTAGAATAAATTCTTAGAAGTAGAATTGCTCCAGGTTTGAAACAACCTTCCTTTCTGTGTTCCTTTTCTTTTAAAAAGCACATACTTCTGGAAATATCAAAGCATGTACATTATGTAGTTGGAGTTGCTGCAGAAAGATGGTCATGGCAGAGTTTTAACCTCCTTCCAGCCATCACTGACAAGAAGTTAGCAGGAGGTTCAGTGAAAGCAGCCAGGCGTATAAGCCCACATAGTGTGGGTGTTCATAAGGGATGTCCAGAATAGGCAAATCCACAGAGACGGAAAGTAGATCAGTGGTTGTCTGGGGTTTGGGGGAGGAAGGATTCTGGGGTGACTGCTAATAACAGGGTTTCCTTTTTTTTTTTTTGGCAGCTGGCCAATATAGGGATCCAAACCCTTGACCTTAGTGTTATAACACTGTTCTAACCAACTGAGCTAACTAGCCAGTCCAGGGGTTTCTTTTTGAGGTAGAGAAAATGTTCTAAAATTGTGATGGTTGTACAATTCTGTGAATATGATGAGGGTACTTCAAAAAGTTCATAGAGGGCTGGCTGGTTAGCTCAGTTGGTCAAAGCGTGATGCAGTGCTGGTAACACCAAGGCCCAGGATTCGATCCCTATACCCACCTGCCCCCACCCCTCCCAAAAAAAGAAAGCTCATGGAAAGATTCATATTATCCTTAAATTCTATTTTTCCACAAACTTTGAAGCACCTCATATACTGAAAACCATTGAACTGTACACTTTGCTGGGTGAATTCTATGGTCTGTGAATTATATTCCAGTAAAGCTGTGTAAGAAAAAAAAATGATTAAAAAAAAATGGAGGATGTGAAAATAAAGAAGTTAATAGGTAATGTCTAAAGGTGAAAAATCTACAAATATTGGTACAAATATATTACTTAAAATTATGAAGGTATTGTCAAAAGAAACAACTAACCGAGTGAGAGTGGGGCTGGCGGGTCAGCTCAGTTGGTCACAGCGTGGTGCTGACAACACCGAGGTTCAGGATTCAACCCTGTCCTGGCCAGCCACCAAAAAAATTAAAAAATAAAGGAGTGAAAGAGGTTACCCCTGAGGAACAACAGTGAGATAGGGACGAGCAGGGATAGGAGTCCCCTCTGCACTATTTATTCATTTTTTAAATTTAGAAATATATTTTATCTTTTTTTTGGCCGGTGCGGGGATCCGAACCTGTGACCTTGGTGTCATATAAGGCTGCGCTCTAACCAACTGAGCTAACTGGCCAGCCCTAGAAAATATTTTAAAAGCGTGGAATAATTCCACTGAAAGTCAGTGCTTGGTGCAGGAAAGAAGTGCACTGAGCACAACTTGGGGCCAGGCCTTTGGCGTGTGGCCTCCAGGTGGGCTCCGTCCCTGGCAGCTGCCCTGACTTTGCCATTTCCTTCCCAAGATGCGGCTGTGTGAAGAGGCCACAGCATCCAGAGGCTCTGCCCGAAGCAGAGCCCAGCAGATGGAGGACCAGTGACCCCAGGCAAGGCTTCTGGACCTGTGTTCCTGTGCCAAAGTCCTACTCGGGCGGGTGGGCACTAGGAAGGGACCTCCATCTGCCTCCTGTTCTTCGAAGAAGCTGGTTCCCTGAGCTCCTGAGCTGGCCGGAGTGGGGGCTTCTTTCTCCAGTCTTCCTTGGAGAACATTGCTCCTCTCCTGGGAAAGGAAAGCAGTCTCAAGGGAAATCTGGTCTCTTCCTTCCTGCCTTCTGAACCATCTCAGGTACTGATGACCCCATTTAACACAACAGGGGTCTCTGACTACTTCTGCCCCATATTCCTCCACGGGAGTGAAGCTGCCTTAAATTCTCTTATTAAACAAAGCCACCTCCTTATTTATCTAGCTTGGCATTCTGGTCTTAAAGATGCCCTCTCCTTACAATGAGGCGTGCCTGTAGAAACACCTTCCCCTGCCTCTGTCACCATTGTGTGTGTGTGTTTGTGTGTTTTTAATAAAATATTGACTTGGCCAATTGCAGAAGGATTTATTATTGAACTAGAAGTCTGTAAAACTAGGCCTGAAACAGTCTCCATTCAAGCTCGTGTCTGGCACATTGTCCTGTGCTCTGTGTATACACTTTGACTAGGAGTCAAAAGCTGCTTCTGTTTTTCTCTCCATCTTGAGCAGTAGTAATAGGGTTGAGTTTTAGGTTTTAGGTAACATGTTCAGTTTGTAATTTGTATTTATGTCCTTCTCCTGCAATATCAACTTGCTCATTTTGGAAGGGGCTTTGCAGGAAGCTAAGGGTTGTGTTTACACTATAACAACTCACCTTCTTGTCCTAAATTTGCTGCCTCCCTGGTCATGGGCTGCTCAGTTGGCTAAAAACAGGAAGGGGGAGCAGAACAAATGTTTGCCGAGCAGCCTGTTTGTGAGGACATAGTTGGCAGCAAGTACCGTGCTTCTGGGCAGGTTATAGGACCACCTTTTGAGAGATGAGGAAATCAAGGCTCCCTTCCCAAGGCACAGGGCAAGCCAGCAGCAGGGAGCTGGGCTGGAATCCAGGTCTGCCTGACTCCCAGCCCCATCCTTTCCAATGCATGTGTCACCTGAAACGGAGGCAGCCCCTTGGACTGCTCTCGTTGATGCTGGTCAGCTCAGGACGATGTGATCTGTCTGGGATTATCTAAGGATATGGGATTATTTGTGATGTGTCTGGGGCCTGGTGCTGCTGATGGGAGGGTCTCTTGCATCTCAGCCAGGCTGAAGCAGGAACCTGGCTGAGCAGCCCTGGGTTGGTCAGCTCCTCAGGAGCAGCCTTGGCTGAGGAGTGCACTGTCCAGGTGAGACAGTGGGGCCTGGAACTCCCTGTCTGCAGTGACAAGGGGACCTCCCCAAGCAGTGAGGAGCCAGGTTGGATCATTTGGGTCTCCCCAGAAGGGCCAAGGTGGGTAGGGAAAGTCAGATGGGGTAGCAGCAGAAGCTGGGGTCTACTCAGTAAGGAAGAAAAGCCCAGACCTGGGTGACACCTTCACAGACAAGGAGCAGCACCCCGTTTGGCAAATGACTTGGGCCGAGGAGGCAGCTGCTTGAACCAAGAGTTGGGGTGGGAGGTGGGGGTGGGAGGGGCAGCTGTTTTGGGGTTTCCATGGCCTCCCAATAAACTGTCAGATAAGCCATCCCTTCTCTTAAGTGGCCACACCCCCAGCACTAGGGAGTAAACGTTTAAGCAGACAGAGCCAAGGGTAGTGGGAAGAAAACCAGGCTGGCCGTCAGAAGACCTGGGTTTGGGCCCCAGCTCTGCCACTTACTAGCCCCATGACATTGCACGGACAATCTCCCAGAGCCTCAGTTCCTTATTTGTATACTGGAGAGAGTAAGCGCATCCCACCTGCCCTGTGCCCTTCCTGGAATTCAGTGACATAGCAAGGTGCTTAACAGTTATCGTTAATTCCCAAGGAGGTACCAGAACAAGAAATGAGCAGGTTAATGTTGCAGAAGTGATTGACTTTGCGAGGGGGCAGGTAGGGGCTGGGCTGCTGAAAACATCTTTACTTTTACTTTCCTAGATCTTAAACTCTTTAAAGTGTGGATTAGGAGGTCAGAGGCAGTTTTCAGCAGGACACCAGGACCCATTGTGGACACAGGGCAGCGATGAAACACTTGTGGGCACCTAGGCAGGAAACAGCCACAGCAATGGGCTGTGAGCTCTGCGTCACGGTGGTCATCCCCTGCCAGAGGCCTGCTGGCTCCCTGCTAACCTGGTGAAGCATGGTGGCTGTTCACTTTCAAGGTATGGCAATGATTTCCATTTTCGTCTGCTCCCCGAGTTCTTTTAGCCCCAGGTGCTCCCCAGCCACTCAGGGACATTCTGGAACAGAGCTAGCCCCTTGGAGTCCTCATCATCTTGGCAGCCTCTGCACATAGCTTGCTCTCAGTTGACAGCTGAGGATGCTGTTGACTGTAGGGAGGAGACCCGGAGGTTTCCCAGTGGTGACTCACAACCCCAGGGAGTGAATATCGAAGCCAGTGTGGCAGTGCCATTCAGCCATCCCCATGGAGGACCAGCCTCTAAAGCAGGTGGTAATTCGTCACAATGCACAAGCCCTGGGAGAGCTGACCAAGCTCCCTCCAAGAAACTGAGATGCAGTAGTTCTGGGTTGGGAGCCAGGAATCTTCTAAGACTTTCCCACAGAGTGGTCCAGCCACATGGACAGCTGGCTGGAAATGCAGGCTCCCAGGCCCCATGAAGATCGACTCAAGCAGAATTGTCTGCACTCTGCAGAACTGTAACCAAGTCCTCGGTGGCCTGTGTGCACTTCAACGTTTGTGAAGCACTGTGGGAATCAACAATGCCCTAGGGTGGGTGTAAATCTGAGGCTGAGAAAGGAGATGAGAAATGGTGTCAGTTGGCAGGTGTCTGAAGTAAAACCTGCTTTCTGTTGCTGGGGCCACAGCTACAGTAGGAGAAAGACTTCTTTTAAGAAGCACCTCTACTGCCTTCTGTCTTGGCATTTTCAAACCTCTTGACCTTTCCCATGTTCTGGCTTCAGCCCCCAGAGGTCCCTGCTCCAGTGTGCCCTGTGGGGAGCCAGAGGCAGGGCAGGGTGGGGAGCAGCACTGCCTGTGTGTGTGGGAACCTGAGATGAAGACGGCCCAAAGAGTCTGGGGCCTGGGGCAAGTCACATATAACCGCACCCCTGGCCCCAGGGCACAGGGGAGAAACTAACCAGCTCCACTCTAAGACGCCAGATGTCACTGAGCTTTGTGAACTAGGAGGAGAGAGCTCATTGTTGGGAGGGTAAGTGCTCCTGCTGCCCCAGGCAGGAACGGCCACTGACGTGAAGGGGCCACTTGCTACCTGGGGCCCACCAGGTTTGTGTGCCCCACTGGAGACAAGAAGAGGAAAGGATGCAGAAGATACTGGCCTCTCAAGATTTGCATATTTTCAAAGTAAAATGATATTAGGGTGGAAGCCAGTACTGCTCACACAAAACAAAAAGCAGTACTCAAACGCAATGTGGGCAGCCATAAAAAAGAAGCAAGTTCTGACACATGCCACAACATGGATGAACCTTGAAGACATCGTGATAAGTGAAATGACCAGGCATGAAAGGACACATACTGTATGATTCCACTTATGTGAGGTACCTGGAGTAGTCAAATTCACAGAGACAGAAAGCAGAGTGGTGGATGCCAGGGGATGAGAGGAGGGGGAGTGGGGAGCTGGTGTTTAATGAGCAGTTTTGGTTTGGGAAGATGAAAATGTTCCAGAGGTGGATGACAGTGGCGGTTGCACAAGTGTAAATGTACTTAATGACACTGAACTGTGCACCTAAAAATGGTTAAGATGGTAAATTTTGTTACTTCAAAAAGTTCATGGAAAGATCCATATTATCTTTTAATTCTATTTTTCTGTGAACTTTTTGAAGTACACTGTATGTGTATCTTACCACGATTTTTTTAAAAAGCAATACAGGATCTTCTGTCTAGGCACTTCAGTATCTGAAAGAGCAAAAATTACACCCAACCCAAAGCAGCAAAACATCCCATCAAAGGCCGGCACCATATTCAAACAGCTGAGCATTATGGGTCCTGAAGGACTCAAGCTGTGGGATGTTTGTCTTTTCTAAACCAGGCCCTCTCGGGGAGCTGCTCAACCCGGGGCAGTGCCCTTGTGTAACCCAGACTCTGTACTCACCACCCCAGCTCCAAGAACAGTCACACCAGGCAGGTCCAAGGGAAGACGGGAGGGGAGGGAGGCAGAGGCCAAGGACCAGGAACCATGCCTGGCCCACTGTGGCAACCTGAGGCACTGGGAGATGATGCCACAGCTGGTCTGCCCACACCCGCCACCACAAGCAACCAGTTCCATGGCCAGCAGAGCCTCCCTCAGCCTGGCCTAGCCCTTGGGGAGGAAGGGATGGAAGGTGGAGTGTGGCCACAGGTGTTCTCTCACCACCCACAAAACTGACAGACTGCTGCCCTGTGACGCTCTGGAAGGTGGCATCTGTGTTCTCTACAGCGATGTGGGCTGTGGCTATAGCACTGCCCCTCTTTGAAGGCCTGTGAGGGAGCACACTTACCTGGAGGTACCAGTGTTATAGCAGGGGAGGGCCAAGGAGAAAGCCCAGTGGAAGTGAGGTTAGTGATGGAGCTGGGATTTGAGCCCAGGCCTGGCTGTCTCTGGGGCTTAAATGGTGACCACCTCACCTGGGGCCTATGGGCTGGCAGGGCAAGGCTGGAATCAGCCTGTACCAACTGGCTTCCTTCCCAGACAGTCGGCCCTGATGCCTCCAGACAGGCCCAGAGGAGGAAACAAGTGTGTTCCTGAGGGAAGCCCCGGACTGAGGCATCCCTTGTATTGCAGCTGGCCGTGTGCTGGTGGCCTCTTTTCTAGACGTGTTAACAGTTACGCTGAGCCCTCAGCCAGGCCACTAAAGGCCCAAGGTAGAGGAAGACAGAGACCCAGGGCTGGCCCATTCTCAGGGCCACATACCTCCCAAGCCTTTTCTAGCAGAAAAGCAAACTTCTGTTGCCATGGAAACACAGCAGGTCTTGGGGCCCTCCTCAGCAACCACCACTTCCCCACTTTGTGGCGGTTTTTGCATCCTGTGAACTCTCAGAGGTGCTTCTGGGGTCTCATAGATCTCTGATTCTATGTATAAATACATGTCAACACCTTAATACGCACACTCTCCAGTCATCAGTAGCAAACGACATTGGGGACCCCTGGGCTCTATGCCTCCTTTACTAGAAGGCTACCCACGGGTACGAACCAAGCTGCTGAAACAACCGCCACCACCTCTTGGACAAGCCCGGATTTCTCCAACTGCACAACCAAGACAGCCCCAGCACAAATCCGGAGATGAAGCTACAGCCGCAATAATCTCCTTACTCCAAATTGTGGGCTTTTCAGATTAATCCCAGTAAAGTCCCAGTTCTTAACAGACTGACTTTATAATAAGTAAATATTATAAATGTAAATTAATAGTTGATAGTCATGCCACATTTCCTGTTTTATACAATGGAGATTC